CCATGATGCTTCCACTACTAAACCCAGAACTGGGGCGTGGAAAAGCGGTTGCCATCAATACTTGAGTTAATGTGAGTTATGTTTGTTGACTGTGGAGATGTACCAAAGTTTATTTGTGACTGACTGATACATTTTCTATAACATGTAAAGAAAGATGTTGTATTTGTTTTAAATTGAAATTTAAAAAAAAAACAAATTTAAAAAATAAAAAAATAAAAATAAAAATTAAAGTCTCTTTTCTTTTAAAATAAAAATACATTAATTCTGCTCTAATTATCACCCAGAATAATTTATTTTTCTAAGAACATTTATGCATTATGATATATAAAGTCTCTTCTTTCCAACAGATTTCACTACACCCATACTTCTTTCTGACTTGTTTGCTGAGATTAGTGAACTAGAAAACGTTCCTCTCCTAAGCCAAATTATGGTTTATCAATATCAGAATAAGTCTTGGGTTTGTATACTTGTCTTCCCTGGCACAAACACAAAGAAATTAATACATCATCAATAAACTAAAATGTCTAATTTCACGTTTGGTTATCTATACTTGGAGAACATGAAAAAGCTTAAGTTTGCACACATGCTAATTTACTGGTGTCTTTTATGTTTATACATATGTACAAGTATAAATCAGCTCAGAAACCGTGGCTTGATTAAGGACAGATGATGATCTATATTACATAAACAGAAGTTTGCTAAATGTTGATCAATGTGCATACCAAGCTATTCAAGAGATTCCACTCGCTGAATTTTACCATGTAAAACAATGTATAATTGCATATAATTACAAATTTATCATATAAAATGTTTAATAAACATAACTTTAATGTATCACTTAATATAGAACACAAATTAAGGAGTCTGTTTTTTTGTCACCACCCACACAATATCTCAGTTTGAGGCAATAAATTGTAATATGACTGGAAGCCATGTTAGGATTACCAGATGGGATATTATTTTAAATTTCTATATCTATAGAGGGGAAACAACCCAGATTGCTACATAGATGGCATTTAATCACTCCACTTCCTCTTTTCATCTAGAAGTATTCTTAAAAAGAGTGCTCATTACAAACCTGCGATAAGCATCCTGGAACTGCTAGCAAATGCTGCCCCTCTTTCATTTCCACTTTATTTTTGAAGGGATTGGCGCCAGTAACAAAGTCCCCAATGAGCTTGTTTCTTCTAGGTAGATTCCTATTGGTTGGTGGTTTGCCAAGCAATCTCCTGGTTACAAATTCTCTCTGCTAAAACATACTTTTAAGTAAGCCTAGCTCCTTTCCATTCCTCCCTTCAACCAACTATGGAGAGTCCTCTAATTCAAAGCAGCACTTCATATTTTTTAGCAAATGAAAGTAAATGTCTTCTTTGGAACATTCCCAAATGTTGTCAGTTACAATTGCTCAATATTAGCAAGTCATTCCTTTCTCTAAGATGGGTACTTCCATTTCAACACCCATTGGTTTTTAGGCAGATGTGTACACTTTTTTATTCCTTACCTGTTTTGTGTATACTTGTGCATATTTTTGGGCCACTCTCCCCCTTTCTCATATCAACCTACTTCACGTTGTTATTGTGGGGGAAATAGGAAGAGTACTCGTTTGTTTCTCTCGCCTTTAGCCATTCTAGTCATCCCCATTAATCGTTTTTAGTTTTCTCTTTCCTTAAGTACTCAGTATATTTTCAAATGGCCACCACGGTCCTTGGTAACTTCGTAATAATAATCATAAATTAAAAATAAATTAATAAATCCTAGGTCCTTGGGAAGAACTCGATGCGCATAAAGGCCAACCCTAGCTAAATAACTGGCACCTGCGCTGCCCATTGTTGTGTATATAATAGAAATAATCATAATCACTGATCTCTGCCGCCAGGACCTTCCACCCATCCAAGGCTGTTAACAATTGACCAAGGAATGCGCATCCGACTGGGCGCCCAATGGAATTTTGGGGATCTCCCTCTCGGACCTCCCGCCTGTCCGCCCGTTCCCGACATAGTCGCTTGGTGTTTTAAAGCACGGGCGGCGGTTGAAGCGGCGGAAGCGCGCCGCGCGTGCGCCCATGAAAGGGCGGGGTGAGGTCAAAAAAGGAGGATTACTCGGCCGGCTGAGTGTAACAGGTACCGGAAGCGCAAGGGGCGGGGGGAAGGGTTACCAGGAGACGCCGAGGAGCCGAGAGGAGACATTATTGTGGCAAACCGGTAGGAGGCAGCGCGTCCCGGGAAGCAGGCGCGTCCCTAAGAGAAGCCTCGCTGGGGGCCGAGGCCGCTAGTGCTTCCCTGCCTGCCTGCCTACCTACCTACCTGCCTGCCTGAAGGGCGGGGGGGGGGAGGAATTCCTAGCTGGCTGCACCTGCTGAACAGTTACGGGGCGGGTGGGCGCGGAGAATCGGTCTGGTTGCTCATTGGCCTGTCTGGCTTGAGAGGGAAAAAGAGGCGAGGTAGCGGGTAAAGCCGAGAAGCGAGTTGAGCAACCCGGGAAGGAGAGAAGGAATGAGAAAAGGCAGGCAGTACGCTTTTTGGCGCTCACGATTTAGCTGCCATCATGACCTCTAGGAAATGCCCTGGGCGCAGGAGGAAAAACACAGAATTTATCGCAAAGGTACAGAGAGTCCGTAGGGCCGTGATGGCGAACCTATGGTACTGGTGCCACAGGTGGCACATAGAGCCCTCTCTGTGAGCATGCAAGCCGTCGCCCCAGCTCAGCACCACCATCCATGTGCCTCCCGCAGCCGGCAGATTTTTGGGTCTCTGCCACCCATGCAAGATGCATGCGGGAGATGTGCATGCATGTGTGTGGGTCCATGCATGCACAGGGGCTGTGCATGCATGTGCGGGATGAGGGTATGGAGGAAGTCATGTGCGGGGTCACAAACAAATGCACGGGGCAGGGCACATGTGTGGGGTTAGCCATCACTGCCATAGGGTATAAGGATGAGGAAGGCAGCCTTCTGGCAGAGGTATTTAGCAACTTTGGGGAGGGAGCTGAGAGAAAACCTCTTCTGAAATGGGGGTTTCAGGAATTTTATGAAGGTTTGAGGGGGAAATGTGATCGTCATTCCCAGTTTCTGTTAAGCTTCCAAGAGGAAAGTTACAAATAAACAAATTTATTATCTTTAGAATTTTATGTATGCGTAAGCTAGTCCTCGGAAGAAAATGTATAGATGGAAACACATGGTGTGAATGTTACCTAACTTAGTTATATTTTTTAGAAAAAAATGAAAGGCTGGAAATTCATATTGCAAAGAGAACAATTCTCTCAATTTGGCCACGTTGCCTGAATTCTTCATTGTTCTTTTGTTTAATTTTTTTTAACCTGCTTCCATGTTTAATGACTCCATGATATACTAGTAATTTAGCCAAGAACATACACAGTTTTAAAACTGCATTTAATTTAGAAATGATAAATCTTTTTTTAAAGTCCTTGGCATATATGGGAAATATTTTTGATACATACAGCCACCCATGTCACTATGGTGATTCTGAGCAGCTGACAACACAAGCAACAACAAAAAGTAGAATACATGACCAGTCCACTTGGGACTGGAAATATTAACATAATTTTAAATGATGAATCTGACAGCCCTTACAAGCAGTTAAACCACATTTCCTTGTGTAATTCATTTCTACTTTTAGTTAAAAAAACTTGCTAGGAAGATACGTTTTCTCATGTATCCATTTTGCCTGTCCCCAATCCATTGAAGCAGCTATCACTATGGTACTTCCACATCTTGGTTTCATTTGACATTTTAGAAAGTAGGGAAGCTGTTGGTTCATGGAACTGGATAACCAAAATATCATGTGTCTTTAGTGGTTGACTGGATTGTTCTGCTTTGATGATTTAATTATAATTTATTCCATGGAAATTTATTTTAAATAAGCATAGAAGGATTTGGATTGCATTTGAAATACTGTCACATTTTTTTTAAAATCAAAACCCAGTCAGTGGGCTCCCAAAACTAACACAACCCTTGGTCTTTAGGCAACACAAACACAAGCACACACTGGGTAGTACTCACAGTTCCTTCTTACACACTTACCCAGGTCTACTAGTACTCTCACTACTAGTATAGCCTACTAGTATACTCTACTACTATTTGTGAGCCCTACTGCTAAAGAATAGTATTTCTATTAGCCCTAGGCTGCTATCAGTTGCTTTGTTTCCACAAAGTAACAGAAACCACCTCCCCTCTCACTCCCAGAACAACTCCAATGCCCCAACTACATCCCCACAACAACCCCCCACCTGCTTTTCTGCTTGTTGCTGGGAAGCTGGACTGGCTAGGGAAAGCTCTTAAAGAGGCAGGGCACCATGAGCCCAGCTGCTAGCTATTTTTCAGGCAGCCTGCCCTTTCACAAATACCCTGATATTTCTTTTCAAATGTAAACTTTGCTATTATTGGTACTGAATAGTTTATACTTTATTTTTTATACTAGTATTGAGTTTTTAATTCACATTTAATAGTTCCATTATTTAACCACTTTTAAAGAAGCATAATATTATAATTGTCTTCTTATACTGTGTAATATTAAGTGCATATATTGGAATAAATACCAGTCAAACAACATTTTCATATACCATATTTGCATTCATGCTAAAACTATTCTGAATAACTTTGGGTACTAACTGCTTTTCTAATTTCACTTGGCTCCTCTGATCAGTGGAAGTGACTAATTTTTTGAAACCACCAAAACCTAATTTACAGCCAACTGCTCATTATGGATATGACTATTGGCAACTATTTATCAATTGGTGAAGTATCAGATGGGTATATATCAAGAAACAGTCCAAGCTTTAGTTTAATTGATCTCAGCCCTGTCACTATTATCCAAGTCATTTTTCTGTTAATTGACTAGTTGACACTTCCTGAAAAGTAGTGTATAATTACTATCTTTGTTTCCATGCTCTTAATTAATTGTTATTTGTATATCTATTATATCTTTACAGTTGTTGAGAAAGTCTCAATCTTTATTTAAATTTTTCCATTTTATTTCAGTAAAATGTCATGGCCATTACTGCAATGGCAAGTCTTGCTTAGTTACTCATGCTCTAGTCACCTCCAGACTGGACTACTGCAAAGCACTCTACATGGGACTGCACTTTAAAGCATCTTGAAGCTTCAGCTGTTACAGAATGCAGCAGTGTGGACCATTATCTTTATTCTTAGAGCTGTATTGGTTGCCTGTGTATTTATTAAATTTATATTCTGCCCATCTCACTCTGAAAGGTGGCATCATATATATCAAATAAATGTTTGTTTGTTTGTTTGTTTGTTAAATTTATAGGCCGCCCAATCCCGGAGGACTGGGTGGCCTATAAATTTAACAAACTTTGGTTTTTAGGCAAACTAAAGGTGCTTGTTTTAACCTTTAAATCCCTTCATGACATGTGACTAGACTATCTGAGGGAACACTTCTCCCATTTACATCAATGGCCCCATTAGATCTGATAGAGAACACATACTTATGGGTATCATCAGCTTCAGACTTATATTTGGTGGGTCCCAAAAGATGTACCTTTTCTGCTCACCTTATGGAATGTTCTTCTCTCCGAAATTATTTTGTTCTTATTATTTTGTAACTTGCTTCATTTATGTAATGCTTTCTAAAAACAAGTAGCATTTTGTCTGGCTTAAACCAGTAACATTTTCTCAAAATTCCACATATGTCCCCAAACTTAAAGGTTTCTCATGATCTATGTCAGTTTTCCACGGTGTTGTTCCTTCAAGATATGCTGAACTACAATTCTATAATTAACCACTACCTTAGACAAAACCAAGTTGGGAAAAAACTAATCACTGTTACTGAATTACTTATAAAAATGTTGACAGACTACCCCATTTGAATCTTCCCTTCAGTATGGTACAGAATAAGTAGTACATAAGCATGATTTCCAAGACTTTCTGAATCCATTTAACATAGTCCCTATTGAACCTTGACAATTTTATTTTCAAGTAAAGTTGAATAAATTAGGCTAAATGTTATTTTCATATGGCAGTAACACAAACCTTGCATCTTTTAGCTAAATGTAGCAATAAATACCATAAATAACATTATTTTTAATTGTTTTATAGAGAATCACAACAAGAGAAGAGCTTGCATTAAGAGGTCCATTGATTGAAAGTGACAGAACTTCAAAAACTGAAGACAGATTTAGGCGCAAAGACAAAATAATCCAGGAATTGCTCTTAGAGGTGTTGTCATATATTTCTACTGTTTTGTAACAACCATATATGGAATAAACTTCCACTGATATAATTTGATTAGATTGCTGTAATGTGAGAAAATGGTTATGTATTCTCCATAGAGATGAAGGGACAAGATCATGGGCTGGGATCAGTGATGACATTTTGTCATTATGACTTAGTGCCTCTTATACTGATGGTCTCTTACTGTGTGTCTCCAGAAGAGTAAGCTCATTTACTTATGGATATTATAGAGAGAAGCTAACCGCCTAGATGTATTAAGACTTTTTAGTTCTTGTCAGCCTGAATTCAGTCCTCATGGCAAAACAAGGTTGAGGTTTATTTAGAAAAAGATAAAGATTGTGCTTGTCACTAAGAAAGTAAGTGTAAAACCTAATGTAGGTTGTTGATTACAAGACTGCCTATATGCAAATGGATGATAGCTACAACAGGAATTTATATTATTATCATTATTATTAGATGATATATCATTTATTGTGTTTTGAGTGTTCTTAAACCTAACAGTATTAGTAGCAGAGAATCAACTTTCCTAATGTGATCTCCTCACTGGGAAGCCATAGATAATTTTCAGATATACTGAAGTTACTAGACAGCTTAGTGTGTCATCTGAGTAGTAGCCTATGTTCAATTGTTTTAGTTCTGGAAAGAAGATATCAAATTTGGTATACATTTAGTAGGACAGAATTTAAAAATTATATTCTCATTTGGACTCCACATTTATAACTTAAGTTACCATGCATCTTATAGCATAACTGAACTTGCTGATAATAAAACACAGCTTTGAAGCCCTTGAGAAAAATCCGTATAAATCAAATAGTTTTCTGGGAGAAAATTTGGTAGAATTTAAATATTTCCTGCTCATTATGCAGGATAAATGTCCGTGTTCCTTTACTTTGTGCTAATTAACTTAGTGACCCTGCTTTTAACATAAAGATCAAATATAGCTTAAACCTACACTCATCATCATCCTAGTGTTTTTCCCACAGGTGCAGGATCCACTAGCTTGAACCTTCAGTATCTCTCCAAAGTAGGTTTTCTAAACAGTATAGTGTATAATGTTGGCAAGAATTTATTACTTAGAGATATTATTCAAATCTTAGCACTAAACCTAGTTTTGCTACTTTTAGTCTGTTTCTCTTTGCTGCTTCATAAATGACAGATGACCCACATTATCCCAAAATAAAAACTGCCTAGTACTGAGACCTCTGAGGTGTCCAATAGAGATTCAGAATGTGTCAAGAGCCATAGAAAAAAAATCAATGATATTGGGCTTTAAGCTACAGCAGTGGTTCCCAAACTTTTTCAGTCCACCGCCCCCTTGATGCTACAAACTGATCCTCAGTGCCCCCTACCCAGTGGTGGAATTTAATTTTTTTTATTACCGGTTCTGTGGGTGTGGCTTGGTGGGCGTGGCTGGGGGATCATGTGACTGGGTGGTTTGCACGACAGAAGGAAGATAGTA